AAAAAATAAAGCTTGGATTTACCGGGTCACTTGTATCTGCTGGGCCTCCTGATGTATTCAAGTGCTCAATGATGTCCTTCAGATCTTGCGCCATATGTTTCAACTGAGCATCTATGTTTTCAGCCAGTTTATAGCTGCAAAACACATGAAAAACATGGTCAGGAAATTTAAAGTGAACTTCAGAAGACCTGCTCCCAGTCACACCAACTCTGGGCAATCAGAACTGGCTTCCACACCTTTCAGTCAAGGCCAGCAGATAGGTGGGACCAGCACAATGAGAAGCATTCTACCACACAGACAAAGCAACTCCTAACCTCTTTCTCTCTTGACAGATATATGGAGACAGACTAGCAATAGTCTGGAGGGCTTTCTGGAAGGTTTTGTCATACCTAATGGAACCAGCTAGTCCAGATTGGTATCTTCAAGATTGGTATCTCATGAACCACACAAACACTTCTTTTAATCACTCTGCTACAATTCAACACTTGATGCTTACAAGGATGCTTGAGCCTCACACAGAGCCTTCTGCTCTCATCACTTCTGGCACTAAATCATCACTAATTTTCAGAGATTATGCCAGAATTAGTAACCTTTCCCCAGACAGCTCATTACACCAACACCAGCAACAGCTTTTCATGCAAGGGCTTCAACTGCAATTCCCTATTTGTAATGCCTAAAGTCTAAGTTGCCATGCACAGAACAGGATTGCATCTTTGACAAAGCCACCGACAGTTCAATGTTGCCATTCATCCCAACCCCACTTCGTGCTGATTGATCAACACCACATTAGTCTGCTCATCACATATTACAGACAGATTTCTGTCTTACGTCCTCTCCCGTTCTTCATCCGCATGTTGCAAGTAGATAGTCCCGCTCTGTTCCTTCACAGACTCCTCCAGAGGGGTCAGCAGGTCTTCAAGCTCTTTCTGCTGTGACAGAATGAAGTCTAGCTCCTGATCCAGTCTGAAAAGAGAAAACCACAACTACTCAACTTACAGGTTGGACACATCCCAGATCTGCCGTACCACAATGCAAGAAGATGCAAAAAAAAAACAACATCATCTCAAGCATTCATAGTTTCGTACCTCTTCTGATCAAGCTTCACCTTCTCTACTTCTCTGTGTAATGAAGTAATCTGGAAACAGAAGACA